ATTTTAAATAATCTCTGCCTGGGAATTTAAGTTAAGTGGATGACTTGTGTAAAGGTAGATGACACTATCCTTTCCACTGGCTCAGCCGAGAGAGCTGTCTCATCCGACAAGGCAGGGAACATGTAGTTGCAGTAATTTCTTAAACCATCTCAGTGACGCTTTCAAGAGAACATCTTTCCAGAGCAGTAATTTCTTATCCTCCTGCTCTTCAACAGAGCCCTTCTCTGCACCTCTGTCAGCTTGAACTGACTTTTTTGAATAGGAAGAGACTGCTAAGTAATAATCTAGATGCAGTCTCAATAGCATCCTGCACAATAGCAACTCTGGTAAAATATATCTTGGAAAGACTGAGAGAAATAAAAAATTAAATACTGCACATATTCTATATATGCAATTCTCTCTATATAGTTCTACATAGAATACATGTATGTTCTAGATGCAATTCTATGTATCTATGTATGTATAGAATTACATATATAAAGAACCTAATCCTATAATTCACTTAGCACATGTTTGTAAATTTACAGAATGAGGAATCCCAGTGATTTGAATGAAATTAGCATATATTCTAGAATTAACAATTTTTCCTGAAATGGAGCTATGGATAAGAGAACTTAGGTGAGAATTAATTACTACTTGTACTGAAAATCAGTTTGACAAACAAAAAAGCATTAATACTAATACCATGAACACAATGAGAAGTCTCTCCTGCTATTATACACAAATTTCAAAGCTCAGTTTACTATTTGCCTTCTCATTTTTAATATATTTTGTACTGTAAGCAACTCATAGTGAGCATAAGATAAAAAGACATGTGAAAGCTTAGTATAAATTAAGGTAACATTTAAAGCTGTGCAGAAATGCATATTCAGTAACAATATCAATGAAAAATGTGGTCGATGAAAGATGTAAACTGAAACAAAATTATGCTACACATAACCAGCTAGATACTTAGGCATGAATCCTATCTCTAACAACTGCTACTTAAGAGTTTTGACCTCTTGAATGAAAATCAAAAATCACACTTACTAAATTTAAGCAGGTTTTTTGGGAAGTAGAGACTTCCTGTAGGAATACATGGACACTGATAGCCCTAAGAAACTGGATAGAACTGTTCAACAGTCTTCCATAACAATTTTTCACCTGCACATACAGGAGTCCAGGATTCTGTATTACTTTTTTCAGGTCAGTCCTGCAGTTATATAGATACATGTTTTCATTATTTACTTCATAATAATAACGGTGTTGCTTTGGATTAACACAAAGCATTATTATCGGGTATTTTCTTTGAATTTCAGAGTAGAGGCTAAATGACATGGTAGTGGTGGTCCCACTCAGTTAATAAGCAGGCTTTTGGACTCCAAGCTGCAAATAGTAACCATGTGAGGGACTGCAGCCTGAACCATCAATGCTCCTAGAGAATCAGGAGACAGCCACATTGTTAGCAAGCACTGAGGTGAAAACAACTTGTTTAAAGACTGAGCCCTCATTTTAAGATTCTTGATCAACTCGAAGCCGAATTTCAGATTTGTTCATCATAGCAGATGCAAATTCTGAACATCACTAAGAACTGCTTCCAAAGTATTTCATTTCAGCTCCCACATAGACTATACAAATGTGGACTTTTTGAGACTCCTTGCAGTTGATGAATCTGCCCCAACAGATTCCATGGTTTCAAGAGCAAGAAAAAAGTATTTCGCTCTGTTAGGGTACAATGGTACCCTATTGGTACAATGCTTTAAAACTTACCTATTCTTCCAAATTAAGCGTTTTTTTTAACGAGCAAAGTAGTGGACTGAATTAGCAATACTGCAGCTTGTGCTCACATATATAAAAATCATAGAATCATAGACTCATAGAATTGTTTAGGTTGGAAAAGACCTTTAAGATCATCAAGTCCAACCATAAACCACTAAACCATGTCCCTGAGCACCACATCTACCCGTCTTTTAAACACCTCCAGGGATGGAGACTCGCAACATCCAACAGCCAGATGCTGCAAATGCAGGGACCTCACGGAGGAAGCGTTGGTTCGGCTACAGCCACGTACTCCTCAGGCCTCCTGAAGTGAAATGCTCAGTAAGCAACACAGCAGAATGGCTACAGGTATGGGTGGGCACTTAAAAGACTAGAAACAGGACCCTGGTTCAGACTCCCCCACCAGGCGATCAGTCCCTGCCCCAGGGATGCCACCGCAGTGGTGCCGGTCTCCAGCCCTGTCCTTTGCTGGACCTCAGGCTCACGCTTGCAGCTGTGTCCCCAGTCCTGTCCCTGTAACATTAAAAATAATTTCATATTATTATTTTGCTTTGGGAAAACTGTTATAAATAACAGCCCATTTCAAAAACAAGACTGTACACAAATTTTTCTACATAACCATAAATCAGAATCAGTTGCATCTTTTTCTGCTTCTCTTTTCTTTTCCTAATTCCATCTAGGATGGTTTTTGTCCACCAATTTACAATATATATCTATAGATATGAAATTCCCTTCAGGCCAAGCTGTGATGATATGCACATGTATATGTCTAAAAAACTGTTGAAATCATGCTTGATTTACACAAGCTTTATTCACTTATTTCACATTTCACCCAGCTCAAGCTACAGAGGGAGAGCATCATTTTAGCTTTCGTACCCCTGCATGCAGTTGTCGTATTTACCCCGCTAATACAATGCACAGTGTTTACGTGTACTACAACTTCAGCTGTAACCAGTTTTTTGAGAGCACTGAAAGCGTGACTGGAGCAGAGACCACAGCTATTCCTGTAAGCCGTGTTCTCTGTTAGGAGTTGCGTGTACAATTTCATGTCGATTTTAACATTTATTTTCCAGGTGTGAAAGGAGGATGGATGCAACACCCCCACAACCCTCCTGTGATGCCACTGTCCCCTCAGAGGATGCACCTTGAAGCTGGCGCTCATCTCTATGGATCCAGCTACCAGGGGTGCCGTGGGCTCACCTGTGCACCTGTAAGGGAGGCTGCTGGAGTCAAACTAACAAACACCACAACAACCACATGCGCACCCATGACTTCCTTCTAACTCTACACCCCAGGTCTAGGCCTGACCCCTCGACACCAGCCCCGCTCTCCTCCCCAGCGACACGAGGTTCCCCACGTTACCCACAACACCCTCGGCACCCCGGGGGAACTGCTGCCAAGCGGTTTCCAGCACAGGGCTCCAAAGACACCTACGCCCAGAGACGTGCGCTGTACCCGGCCCTCC